TTGATTCAAAATGTCTACCTCTCATGTAACTTTTATTTTGGGGATGACCCAGAAGACACAGTGCCAGATCTTGGGAACAAAGTGGGTGAGGACACACTGTGATGTTTTGATAAGCCTGGCTTTTTGTTGAATGGTACTTGGCACAGCATTCACCACGGTTTTGATCATTCCTCACAAAAGAACCTCCAGAGCCTAACTATGCAGCCAGGTGTCATTTCTGGCCTTGATTCTTTTTCTCTCTGAACTTTGACTATGTTACTGTTCATGTGAGTGAACAGTAGAATTAACCAGAAATCAGGGAGAAAGTAAAAGCAGATGAGGCTCCCATCAGTTCTACTGCAGCCTGCACGCTGGTTCACAGGACGCTCTCAGAGAGCAGGCCCAAAACACTGGCCGAATGATGTTTACAAAGTGCCTTATTAACGCTCTGTGAAAAGTTGTACGTGATCACTAGGCTTCACTTTACCAGTTATCATATGCTACGATAGCTCAAAATTTTTCCTTTTTTAGTTCTTGGGATTTTCATAAATAAAGACTTAAATATAAAGAGAGACTTAAACATCAAACTTCAAACTGTAAAATTACCAGAAAAATAGATAAGGGAAAGCTCCCTGACACTGGTCTGAGCAATGACTTTTTCTCACTTTGGTTCTGACCCCAAAGGACAGGCAACAATAGCAAAAACAGAATCACATCAAGCTGAAAAGCTTTTGCATAGCAAAGAAACAACAGGATGAAGAGCCAGCCTAAGAAATGGGAGAAAATTCTGTGTAAACTACACAGTTGATAAGGTCTTAATATCCAAAATGTACTAAAAACTCAAATAAATAATAAAAAGGCAACCTGATTTTTTAAATGGGCAAATATACAAATGGCCAAAAATATATTTTTAAAAGGCCTGAGCCAAGGGTGTAGCTCAGTGGTAAAACAGGTGTGAGGCCCCAAGCCTCTGTGGCATTTCCTTGGGAAAGGTGCTATGGTTTGTATCTGGAGGTCCCCAAAGCCTCGTGTGCTCATTGTGGGGAGGCGCCTGGATCATGGGTGGGTGCTAAATGTGATGCTGGCAGGTGAAACATGGCTAGAAGAGGTGGGTCAGTACAGGTGTGACTGAGAAGGCTACATCTCCCTCCTTCTTCATTATCTCCCTGCTGCCTACTGCCATGCCAGGAGCTGTCTCTCCTCTGCCAAACCCCTCTGCCACACCACCCTGCCTTGGACCTAGCTGAATATGAACTGAAACTTCTACAAGCTCTAAGCCAAAATAAACTTCTCTATCCTTATGTTATGGGTGTCAGGTATTCTGTCTGATCAATGAAGAAAATAAGAAAAAGGCAAGGCAGAGCACAGTGAGTGGTTGCACTGGCTAGTTTAAGTAATTTTGGTGGGCTGTATACTGTGTGGCTCTCAGCTATAGCTGATACCTAGTTGCCTAATGCCTGGTTCTGAGTGAATAAGCATAAGAATATTGCCTCCTGGAGCATACAGCCAGCCAGAGTAAGGCATGACTCTGGAGCGGTTACCCTGCACATCAGAGACCTGCTTCTGGCTGAGTCCTTTACTGGAAGGGAAGAACTGGAAGGGAAATTCTATACACGGAGATTAAAAAATATAAACCAGGCTGGAAGTGTGGCTCAGTGGTGGAGTCCTGCCTAGCATGTGTGAGACCCTAGGCTCTATTCCCAGGATTGCAAAAATAACTGCGTGTGTGTGTGTGTGTGTATGTGTGTGTGTGTGTGTGTGTGTGTGTGTGTGTGTGTGTGTCTGTCTGTATGTCTGTCTGTTTGTTGAGAGAGGGATAAAAAAGAAAATTCATGAAATATTTGTATTTATTATTTATCTACTACAGTCAGGCTGTCTTCACAGAATGTAAGTTCTGAGAGATTAGAAAATGCCACTTTTTACAGATTATTCTTTCATGTTCAATAGTTCAATGAATAAGATATAATCATTTAATTGTATGACCAGTTGCCAACTCATTAGGATACTTTTAAAATAAATTTTAAAGAATATAAAAATTAAAAACTAATGTAGAAATACATGCTACTGTCTGTAACCGGGATTGGGCATGTCTGTTGGTCATGACACAAGCATAATGAAAATGTGGCTTTTTTCATATTTATAACCCTTCCTTCATTCTTTTAAGGACCCTCACTGCTGGGCATGGTGGTTCACACCTGTTATCTTAGCACTCTGTGAGGCTAAGGCAAGAGGATCACAAGTTCAAGCCCAAACTTTTCAACTTAGCAAGACACTGTTTCAAAATAAAGTGGGCTGGAAAGGAAGCTCAGTGCAAAGGCCCTGGGTTCAGTCCCCAATACAAATTCTCACACACACACATGGTCATTACTTGGCACTCACCATGTGTTAGGTACTTCAAAGAAACTAACAATATAATGATGGATGTAGGATGCTCTTTTCCTCTAGAAGCCCACCACCTAATCGACAGTGAGTCAGTCACCAAGCCAAGGCCACATGGTAGGAACCTTACCTGTTTTCACTTTTTGTAAACTAGAAAGCCATAAAACGTCAAGGCTTAATAAAGACTCACTCTCTGGCAAGAATATTTCAGGGTGTAGCCCATTTCACATTGTATCACCTTAAGAGGCCACAATGACTGTGTATCCAACTTCCTGCGATGCTGGTTATGGGGCTCGGCTGGTGGTGGCCTGACTCTTCCATGGTCAAGTTTCCACCTGCCTTTCCTGTTATGCTGATCTTACTGATAGTCACTGCCAGAACCAATCATTTCACCAGATTGTTTTAAAATTCTGTTATTCCCTCTACAATTCTTAGCTATAATTCTTTGGTAGAGAAGAACTTGCCCTCTTTGACCAGGGATGTTTGTTTACTTAGGGCAGGCAGGATGAGAGGTTAACTCAGTCTCATTACTTACCCATTTTCAGAGGAAGGTGTTAGTAACCTAGCACTGCCAAGGGGTATTTTGTTTTATTTGGTAATTTTGGTTTGCTTGCTCTCTCTAACCACGAACTCACTGACTATTACACAATCAGTGTGTTCGATCCATAGTAGTCATTCCTGTGAGTATGATAAGTTAATGCCTTGTTCAGTGATCTTTTAAGCTGACTCTGGTGCCATATTCATGTGATCTTGTTAAGAATGTACTCTATCAGAACTGCAATCAGAAATTTCTTCAAATAGCCCTGATACCTTTTAAGAAGAAATAGTAGCCATCTGGGTGGTCACAGTAATATTCACTACAACTGGATTATCACTTATTCCTATGTCTTTTCAGAGAAGGAGTTAGGAACTTTCTGATTTTTGTTTTAGTTAAAAACCAAAACATGAATTAATTCTAATATTTCCATTTAATATTTCATATTAGTTTTAATTTATTTATTGTATTTATTTTATTTTATATTTATCGTACTATTATTATCATTAAAACTATACTTCTTATAGTTTTAATTTAATATATTGGTGTTTTTTTTCTTACACTAAGGTTTTGGTTCCAGACACGTTAATGGAATTTTTCATTTATAATATTCAGGACAGTTGAAAAAAGTATAGTGCCAGTATTTCTTCTAAGGGTCTGGAGGTTTAGCTCAGCGGCATAAGCACCTGCCTTGCGAGCAGGCGGTCGTGAGTTTGATTTCCGGTACCGATAAAAACGAAAAAGACCAAAAAAAAAAAAAAAAAAAAAAAAAACTATTTCTTCTAATAATGAAACCAATGAATTAAGTTTAAATTTTCTTTATAGCTCTTTTTATCCTTAAAACATAGCCCACTAAGACTGTTTAATTTAAACTGTGTTTTGAAGTCACTTTAATTTTTATCTAATAAATCATAATATTATATTCAGTTACATACAATTATTTAGTAGTCTTTAATGATAAGAGTTTTATCTTATTTTTTGGCCTATTTTTCTAGAGAGTATCAAATTTTTACTTCTCAATTTTTAGGAGCCAGCAATTAGCTCACATCTTATATTTTAGATAGAAATACTTTTTTTCTCAGTTGTTTCTATAACTTTTTACTTTGCATGTTTAAACCCTATAGAACATTTGCTTTTTCTACAGTTGAAATCAGTTATAGAATGTGGGTTTTAAGGCATAGTTAGGAAGATTTCTCTTTTCCTATATTGCAAAGATATCCAAGTAAGTTTTCTTCTGATGCCTGAATTTCTAATACATTTGGAATTTTTTGTTGGTGTATGGTGTGAGGTACAGATTCAATTTTGCACTTTTCCAAATGGCTACCAGTTGCTTCAGCATCATTTACCTGTATTTAAAAGTTCATTCAAATAGCCGATAAGATAATTATTTTTATCGTATCTTAAATTTCATATATAGTCATTCTAATTTGGTAATATCTCATTGGTCTATCTGGTTGTTTATGTATCAATAACATCAATCAATACAGTTTTAAGTGTTTAGAATTCAATTTTAAATATCAAGTAGAACCTGTTCCAGCTCCCACCTCCCACTTCTAAACTCCCGTCTGCCCTTCACTTCCCACCGCAGTCCCTGTCAGGGATTTCCTGGCTATTTTTCCTTGTATATTTCTCCACATGAACCTTTCAATAAGTGTGTCTAGCTCCAGGAAGAAGAGAAAGAGAAGAAGAAGGAAACCAGTGGTATTTATTTAGGAATCACCTCAAATTTGGAGATTAAAAAAGGAACCCACAGCTTTATGCTGAATCTTCTTATCCAAGTGCATGTTCTTCTACACACTTGTCTATTCCCATGCGTTTCAGGAGTTTTAAAGTTTCCCTCCTACAGGTCTTGACTACTGTTTTTGTGAATTTTGTTACAAAGGAATTTATGTAAGTGGGGTCTTCCAGTAAATTTAACTGATACTGTTTATTTATATGAAGGCTACTGATTTCTCAGGCCACCTTTTACTTTGCTTAAAAGCAAACAGTTTTCTTTAGCCCAATAAAAGCAAATATTTTATTTTTCATACAGTTTGTTTGGAGTCTTTCTTACAACATTTCCACTGTGGAATGTAAATTTATATCACAAGGAAGGGCAAAAACTCACCTTTGTATATTCATCTTTGGCCTTGGTGAGCATTTGTAAGATATCCACTTCTTTGCCCTCTCCTGAATTGAGGCTCATTGGGGTGATTCCTGCTCCAGCACCCTGATGGGCTTTCGACTGTTCATACTGAGTTAGGCTAAAAACAGAGGGGGAGACTCACACAACAAACGCAACTTAACAAAAATGGCTTTTAAAAGCATCCCAGTTCTTACCCAGTTGTTTTCATCCTGGTACAACTGTACTAAAAGTAAGGTTACTCAGGAGTTTAAGGGCAAAAGGCAAGAGCTGCGGTCTTGAGTTAAGCAGCTACATCTGACTCTAGAGGAGAGGCCAGAAAATTCCCCTACAGGCCAAACGCCAGTATGCATGGCCCATAAATGCCCGTTCACATTACTGTGGCAAAGCTGAGTAGCTCCAACAGAGATATGCAGCCCATAAAGCCTGCAATATGCACTCTCCGGTCCCTTTCAAAAGAAAGTTTGCCAACTTCAGCACCAACCAAACTGCGCGGTCAGTAGAGATAGTTTTCCTTCTCATCTTACAATTGCCTGAAGTCAAAGCAAAACTGATGCCACAACTTCCGTCTCTGTTTAGAAACGCAGTGACGATTCTATCCTAATCTAAGAAGAGGAGCATCTAAAACATACACTAATTTTTAAAAAGCTCCTGAAAAGTGAGGAAATGAGGGATGTCTTTTCTTACTCTGTAAACAACACCAGAGACTAGGCTGTTCTGCGTGCTGCGAGAGAATATTGAGAAAAATACTTTTTTCCCTCTACATGCCTTGATTTTCAGCTCAAATTTCTTTTATTATGCCATGAAATTTATGATAAAAAATAGATCTGAAGAATTTACTGAGGGATTTAATTCTAACTGGGGAAGGGGTTTGAATCAGCACACATCAGCTGCTTATTACTAGTAAATAATCAATTTCCTGCTGGAGCTGTTAAGTAATTACAGCAAAATGCTGACAATTCTACCATGGCCTCTTGACTGAGCTACAGGGCATTTTCTAATCTATATGAAATCCTGCTATTATTATCCACACACACTTACAATAACATGAATGCTCTAGAAACTAGCTTTATGGTAGTAAATACCAGTTTGAACACACTTAATCACCACTTGCAACTTGAGCTAGTTATCTAAAATTAGCTCTATAAGCAAGATTTTCAGGAATCAATTTTATTTATATGAAAAGATCTTCCCCATTTTCATTTCCTTGGGATCACTTCTTAGTCAAAATAGAAACTGGTTCTTCTGCAGACAGACGTGTGAGACATCCCGTCTCTGTGGCCAACAGCCTTCTTTGTGCTTGGCTGAGTCCAGGCCCAGGCTGAGGCCCAGCACAGGTAGCTGAGGTTCTTACCATTTCCATAAATAGCAGGGAAAGAACTGCTTTACATGGAGTGCCCGGGGCTCTAGAGCTGATCAGAGGGTTGACCAACCTCACACCCAAAACAAGCTCTTTTGGGCCTTCCCTTTAGTGGAGTCAGAGAAGCCAGACTGCCAGAAAGTAATAGGATCACAAATTTCCCAGAATGCAGAACGGAACTAATCACAAGGTATCACGAGATTAAAAGAAAAAGACTGGTTAGGGGAAGGGAGAAGACAGACAGACAAATTTTTAAAGTAATACTAACTCAGAAATTTCCAGAGATGGAAAATTAAAGAATATCCCAAGTACTCAGTGTCTTGAGGCATGGTATGAAATTCTGAGTTCCTACACACAAGGATTCGCAGTTAAAGGAAAGTGTTTAGGCAAGAAGGAAATGACAGATCTCAGGAATCTGGAGCAGCCTTTTGTGACGGCTCTAAATGTCCTTTTCCCTAACAGACACACTGATAACTTTTCAAAACAAAAATTACTAATTGATAAACAAAAATATTAAGGAAAACTGCTGTCTGGGGAAACTTATCTTACACATATTTTACATAGGCAGAACGAAGTGTGTGGAGTCAAAGATGATAAATCCAGTAAAAACATAGAGAGTTGTTCCTTACCTTGTTCTCTACCTATTAGGAAGATTAAATGTTTTCCTGACTGCTGTGAAAACTACTACTAAAAGAGATAAATCCTGTTAAGATTATAGTGCTTTTGCCTACATTTAGAAATACACACAAAAGCGTAAGGCCCTGAAAAATATTTAGCCCTGTGGCACTTACTTTTTCATAAGCTCTGCAATTCTTTGACATTCTTCCTTATCATAAAACCAGATTCCATAAATGGACACTGCAAAAAACACATTGAACAAAGCATGAGCAACCTCAAAACCACAAAATAGGGAGAGTCCCTTTTTTTCTTAAAGTGAAATGCATAGTAATTTAGGTATTAATTTATTCAATAATTATTAAATAAACAAGTCCCCAGACTTAAAACTTAAGAATGTAGCGCAGAATTCTTCCATGTCCACAAAGAAACATACAGTGGTTTTGTGCCCACACACACACACACACACACACACACACGCAAAGCAACATAATAATGTGTTTTCTTTAATAATACAGACCTTAATACAACAGGCATTTGGTAAGTTTTTTTTTTTTTTCTTTTATGCAGTTCAGGCATTGAGCTCACTTTGTAGCCCATACTGGTCTCAAACTTGCAACAATCCTCTTTCCTTGGCCTCCTGAGTGCTGGGATTACAGTCATGTACCACCACACCTAGCTAAATACTTACTAAATGAATACAGAATACAGATTGAAAATGAAGTCAGGATTTCTAAACTGCTGGCTTTGCCACATCATTGTTTCTATACTCTACTTGCACATTTCATAAATACATTTCATCTTTATTTTTAAACATTCAGAAATCTGATGCTCAAATTATGCCTAGAAACTTTCCTCCCTTCTTCTCCTCCCAAGAATATGTTTATTGAAAAACTAGACTTGTGAGCTGTAAGTTAGGATAGGATAGTTGACAAAATAAATTTTAATAATAAATCTGACTTCAAAATGTCTGTACACAAAACTTACAATTGTTGAAAGGTTAAATATGAGTATAATTTAACCACTTAGTAATGAAAGAAAATGTGGTACAATATAGCTGCTGTTGATTCACTTAATAGTTTTTCAAATAAATTGACTACTAAATTTAGTGTGTGCCTATCTCTACATCTTTGTAGCAAAGGCTGAAACAGTTCCCAAAAGCGTTTATATATAGTTCAGGATCTGGTGGTGTTCATCATGCAAATGATACACTAACTACATATGTATTTAAAGGTCTTCCTTAAAAACAGCAGCAATATTATGACACAGCAATGAAAATCTACAAATTTTTAAATTGAAACAACTCCTTTCATTTTGGTTAATACTTAGATTGAACATAAAGTTTAAATTTTTAAAACATTTAATTACATTAACATTATTTTTCCACTCAAATAGCTGTGATATTCTAAACAAGGTCTTTCCTCCCTTACCTGGCCAATGACCAGACATGAGTTTTGTGTTTTGACAATGATCTTTCAAATATCAAAAAACAGGAGAAATGTCTTTTTAGTGCTAGTTTAAGGAGGTATCTTAAAGAGGAACCTTATGAATCTCAATTATTAACTAAAGTTGACAGTGAGGTTTTAAACTGTTTCTGTAATTTTTAGTGTATAAAGAATCTTTCGTACCCCTCTACATGTGAAAGGGAAAAACGTAGAAGAAAAAAATCCTACTTTTTCTTAGACCATGTTATCCTTGAAATACATACACAAACCCCTCGTTGGTACAGTGATAATCTTTTAAAGAAAAATAATACCATCTGAGTTCTGAAGTTGATGTGCTCCATGAGAGCTTTTCTATCAAAATAAAAATTTTTATCTCAAGATCATTAGATGTGTACTGTGAAATTTCAACGCCAGGCTGCTCCCAGTCCATCAGCACTCAGCTCACTGCTTTCCCACTCAGAGTCCTCGGTGTCAACCCTCCTGCCCTCCTTTCTTGTAAGAAAAAGCAGACTGAACCACAGACATCCAGCCACTTAATAAATCTGAATACGTCTGTGTGTTTTGGTGGCCTTAATGTAGTTACAATACTAGAAACCTGTTCTGTTTTTCTGGCTACAGTGAAAACATTCTTCCCCTGGAGACAAGAGTTTTCCAAAACTGTCAAAGGAGAAAGACAGCACAACTAAGAAACCCGAGGCTCAGTGCAGAGAAAAACCCAACCCTGGAGTTTCTCATCAGTAGATCACAGTAACAGACACATTTGGGTGCCATTTTTCTTGATGTTAGACATTTGTGGCATTTGACATAAGGAATTTGGTTTTCGTAAGGGTAGGATGCCAAGGAAACTGTTGATACAAACAGACAGGCAGCTTGACATTGTCATTACTATGAGACAACTAAATGCACATTGAAGGAGGGAAAATGCTAGAAAAATATCTCTCAAATGTCAAAGCAGATTGAAGGAAAGTCTAGCTTTGTAGTAATTATTTAAAATATCATGGAGCTTTCTTTAAGACCCAGCCATTTATCTCCAAAGCAACATGGTTTTAAAATTAACATGGGATCATTTTGAAGTAACTCCTTTCATTGAACATTAAGTTTATATAGTGAGGGCTACTATAACAGTCCTGCCTACTAAAAAGGGCACCAAGATAAAATGTGACCCGAGTCTAACTTTTTTCCCTCCCTAAAATAGTTTTGCAACTTGAGCTGCATTCCTTTGAGAAAGGGGCTGTGAATTCCATTAAAGTGTACATTGTCCAACTGAAGTTTTCTGCCTGTCAGGCCCAAGGTCTACCAACTCCTCTACAAACCAATCACTCTTCCACACAAGAGGGTATATCTGAGCAACTCGTGGTGATAAAAAAAGACCAGAGCTCATCGTGCCTTTGCGAGGTGATGAGCTGACAGGGTGACAGAAACCATTAACTTCACATTTCAATCCAAGGTTTCCTGCAAAGCCCCTGAGCGAGAGGCCTATCCCTCTACAGGCAGTAAGCACAGCAGGAAAGTGGAAAAAGACAAAGCTAAAAAGAGTTTTTAGAATTCTAAAAACTTAAGTATATTACCACAGGCTAAACTTGCAGCCAAGTGATAGAGCTGTGTGAACTTCTGTGGTTCTGAATTGTTATTATAGAACTAGTTTCTGAGTTTTAAAAATTACAAGAAGAAAAGATTCGAAGAACTCTTTTTTTAGTTTTAAAATCAACTTCTTGGTCCACATCTGGAAACTCACCATGTTTCGAGCCTTCGTGCAGCCCACCACACCTGCATACCGGCCACTGTCCAGTCACCTGTCTGCGGACACAGAGGTGAGGGGTAAGGGCACCTTGGTGCACGAAGCTCAGCTCAACTGCTTCTACATCTCTCCCGGAGGTAAGGAGCCCAGAGCAGGCACAAAGGACAGGAAGAACATGTGGGGATTTTCTCTGCACAAGTCTAACGGTACTTAGAATCTTAGGTCTCATCTCTTTGGCTGTCCACTTTGTATTTAATCAGGACTTTGAACCACACAGTTGTAAAATTTGCCTAAGGTTTTATGTCATTCTTTGAAAATTCTCAGTTGAGAAACAGTGACATTTGAGGCAACAGGCAATGCAACACTGCGTTTATGCAGGAAAACAGCTGTCTTTGACTTTCCTTTGAATTCTTTGAGAAAGATCAGGGAGATCAAAATTTCCATGTTAGATTTCATGTCTGAATTTTATAGCTACACATCAACAAGACATGGTGTCTTAATGTATTCTATGGGAAAATGGAAAGATAATCACATTGTAAAAGGCAACAAGAGTTCATTAGAACATCAAATGTAACATATCAAATTCACATATTAAATTGCAATCTTGGGTTCCAATTCATTTTGAATGTTCCTTGGAGATCAATCTCATCCAGTTTATATCCTTAATATTGCTATTCAATCTATTCTTGTAAGATATCTGTCATCTCTTTTATACAGTATTTTATCCTAAATACCTCTCAACTCCAAATCAAGAATGGTAGCTTATACTCATTTAGATTAGGCTAGTATTTATGCAAATTTTAGAAAGAGGGCTTATAACGACATGGTTTATAAGCGGAATATAAATGCCTAAATGGTAAATGATGTATAGGTCAAGCTTAAATATGCAGGATATCTGATTTGTTAATGCTTGTGCTTCCCCTTTCTCCCGCTTTCCCTTCCTTCTTTCCTTTCTGCCTTTCACTTATTCCTAGCAAAAGAACAGGAAAATGTGTTTTTCTTGGAAAGCTGTCAGGCTCTTTTTACTAGGAAAGTCATGGAAACATGGCTGTGATAACTTGCACAAATGTCTGCTGAGAATTTCAGGATAAACCAAAAAATTTTAAAGGAAGGATGGAAGGCAAGATAGAAAAGACAGAAACAGGGAGGAAAAGCCGAGAAAGCGAATGAAGATTTCTAGCAGTGGCAGTATTTTTGCTGGAATACCATTTTTCGATGCCTATTTCTGGCATCCATAGATGGGAAACAAAGTTATCCTTGGCTGGCTAGATGCTGATTCTGTACTTCTACCCCATCAGGAATGTCTGCACTGAAATGATTTCCTTTGGCATCTTTTTTAATGCCTTTAAAGTAATGTTCTTCATTCACCTTCTGGGTTGGCTTTACTGACCAAACACGGACACATCTTGTAAAACAAAATCTTCACTGGCCACAGAGAGTCTACATAGCACTGTTATCTTTGGATCCTGGTCTGGTTCTTTTCATATGACATAGTTTTTATTGTACTTCACAAATCAGGAATCCCATGATCTTGGGATACTGGAAGGCTCACAGCAAATGAGAAGTGGCTTCTACTTCATGAGTAAATAATGCTCATGAGTATCTTGGGGGAAATGTTATGTTGGAAAATTTGAACAGTAAAAACAATTCTTCCCTTTCTAGATAAATTAATTTCATTAGAAAGCTAATGCTAATAAAAACAGATAAGCAAAAATTTTATAACTAAGGCATTACACTAATTTGGGTTAAGTTAATTATATACTCTACACCTATAGATGAGAATCTGTAAGATTCAAATAAAAAAGAATGTATTTAACCTTTAGAAAGTTTTCTTCTACAACAGACACAGATCATGGATTAGACTTTCCTAATCTCTGTAGAGGTCATTAACCTTCCCAACTGGGAATCTGGAATTTGCTCTTCCCCTGAAGGTCACAAAAGTCAAATGGAATCTTCTTCAGTACACACTAACTTCCAAATTTGATTTATTTTCATAAAAGTTTTTTTTTTTTTTTTACTCTTAAGAGACTTAACGGTAAAGAAACTTCAAAAAATGTAAGTAGGAAAATCTATAGTTAAGAGAAACAGGAACAAGTTACCTGGCTTTATTGGCCACTTAAGTTTATATTTCACTCTGTTTACAACTGCTGATTAATTTCAAAATCTCATAGGCCATAAAAACCAATAAAGGGCATTCCCCTAAGGCATTCCCCTTCCTGGACTCCCATTCACCCTTGAAAACGCAGGCTTTCTCTTCCAGGGATAGTTGCCAACTTTCTCTTTGTTATCAGGGCTTTGCTTTTGTATATTCTTGTACTAAAAAAGTAATAATTAAGAATTTATACATGTGTTCCCTCCATTAGACCTTAAGCTCCTTGAGGGTAGAACTCTGGGGGTACAATTTTGTTAATATGTCCAATTTAGCAATTAACATGTGGTAGACAGTTAACAAATATTTGTTGTACTGAACTGCAATCTAAGACTCTAAATCCTCATACCATCAATAATCCTTGTAATTGCTAAATCCAGTTTGGCTTATTCCAGTATCACAGACCTGCAGTGCTGGAATCCTCTGACAGTTACCCTTCTAGTAGAGAACAGAATTCTCCTCACAATGCCCTTTTTGCTCACCTAACTTCATTGAGAGTTTATTTTGCTTCAAATACTCTATATTCTTAGGCACAAGTGATATTGATGGGATTTTGTCATTAGAATGTGAGTTCCAAAGACTATGGATTTGTATTAACCCAGCACTGAGTAGGCCCTAATGTACTCACTGTATGTGTATTTATCATTACAACAATTCTACTGTATGCCACTCTTTCTGACTACTTGTCAAGCACTGGCAACTAAGAGCTCAAAGAATGCAACAAATCTCTAAAATCACATCCATTTCTCTTCATTACTGAGGAACACAGGACAGCCCATAACCATTAAGATCTTGGTCTAACAGAAAATTGTATTTATCATCCAGTCATGTCAAACTTACAGGTACAAGTACTTAAATTATTTTAAAAGTTTAAAACTAACATGCAGTATCAATTCCAGCAACATACTAAAAATCTATTATTTTAAGAGCATCTCAGTGTAGGGAAATAAATCTAGTCTCACATAATTGTAGTTTGTGAAAACAGTTATGTTTAAGCTAAACATAAATCTAAATATATTTTTTAAAAAACTGTTCCAATAAAGAACAATTTCCTTATATTTGAATCAGATTTAATCAAGGGTTGAACAATAATAGGAATAGCTTTACTGAAAATAGTCTAACTCTAAAACACATGATCACTAAGAAGTTTTTAAGATTTTTATAGAGCAGTGGTCTGGCCAGAAGAGTTTACTGCTATTTCCTGTTGAGAGAAAAGTGAATCAGAGTTTCTGTAATTTTTAACTATGAATATAGATACAGGAGACATCGCTTTCTCAAAATTCCTGTATGTTGTAGACAGTTAAGTTTTAGTTTAACTATGAAATAAGACCTCTTAAGATGCATATGGAATAAGTCTAATGCCAATTTGTTGGTCAAAATTGCTTTTCTTTCTCCAAATTCCTAAGAAGATAGAACGATTACAAATTTTCCTTCTGTGGGTTAAGAAGTAAATTGACCTTGATTCTAGAACTTGATTATTTGAAACTTTTTTAAGTGATTTTTTGACAAAAGTCAGTAATGTGAAAAACAGAATGCAAAATACTCAATGTGGCCATAATGATCATTTACTATAAAGTATTATGTGTGGACTGGGAGACTAAAGGTGGCATACTCACTAAGGATTTTAAAAAATGTTTATGAATCCAGTTTTTCTCTGCCAAGACTTAAGCTTTCTATCATGCCAAATGGGGCTTTCTCAATAAAATAGAGAGTAGCATATAACTCCAAGCCACAAATGAATGAATCCAAATAGCACGGGTCTGTCTTTATTAAGTCTTAAGTCTTTATGGATCAGGATAAAATAGAAGGAACTTCACTTTGACTTTCCCGTTATATGGTAGCCGTATGTCACCATGGATGGCTTTGCCATGTGGGGTCTCCTCCATTTAAGTGCCTCAGTTTGTTAAAGTAAGTTGAGAGATGACAATGGTGTGTACCGTTATTGTCCTGACTGATGTGTTTTGTAATGGGGGGGGGGTTAATCCTTGAAATAAAATGAGTTTGGGAAAAAAAAGTAAATTCAGTGGAGAGATGTACACAGATTTTCCCATTAAATTCATGTGAAGATCCCAGGTGAGTCCCTTGATCATTCACACTGGACATATAGAGATTGTACAAACTGGGTGGTCAGGGTGGAGAGAAGTATGGGTTACACATGCTGAGTGCATGCTTATGGGTGCACTTCAGGAACCATCAGAAGTCACAACTCAACACATGGAAACTCAAGAACATGAAATCCAGAGGTATCACAGGCTCAAAAGTGAAATTTTTCTTTAAAGTTTGTCAGAGCCTTCTGCAATTGACAGAATACCAGTTCTTTAGATAAACTGTCTCCTTTGGAGTTTACATCCTTTCTTTTCAGGATGAATGCAGTACTGACAGAGAACAAAAAGTAATTCTGGACTTAAGGTCAGAGCGACAAGTTCCATCACTCAAGTCACAGTGGATGTAGATATTAGCTGTCTACATATTGAAGCATAATAAAATGTCAACTTTTTAGTTAGGATAGGAAAGGAGGCTCAAAGATGCAAAGTGAAATTACCATGTTGTAGTTTTAAATTTTGGTGGCCTTTCTTTCTCACTAAGGACAGATTTAAGAAGTCCTGCATGATTACTGAGGGCAATGAACCACTCTTCTCACATATAGTCAAAGAGTTAGATTGTATAGGTAATCTACTCTGATTAGACATGAAATATCAAATTTCTTAGCTCTTGCCTCCACATTATTTGTGATTTGAATGAGTTTACTTCAAGTATTTATCTTCTGGGCAGATCCTGATGAGAAAGATCTTCTATTATTATACTTGCAAAGAACAAGTTTATGGCTGGAAAGAATGGCAAATATGTTTAGCTGTATAATTACTTTTAAGATGTTCCTTGATCCTCAATGGGCTTGATGAGTTCAATAAAATCTCCAAACTATAAATCAGTATGTCCTATGCAAACAGACATTTTAGAGGGTGAAGAAACACAAAACATATACCTCCC